GAGGGTAACAATTCAGAACCCAATCACTCAATCACAAATTAAACAAATTTACAAGATTGGGAACAAAATCGATGAAATCGATACAACGAGAGCATCGTTTTCGAACCTAAACTTCTTGAAACAGGCATCGCGGCGGTGACCCACCAGAAAATGATGAACAGATTGTTGCAAATCCTTGTATAAATTGTTTACAGTTGTAGACATTCGAGTGTTCAAAGAAGAAATCATTTCAGCTACAAGAATTCAATGGTGGGAGAGAGAGATTCTTGACGGTGGGAGAGAGGAGGCTGAGAAGTCAAAGAACATGAAATGGGAGTAAATGGGTGGACGGCTACTGGCTAGGGTTTTGTGTTTACAAATCTTATAAAGAACTGCACTCCAGAATCAGTATAAATATGAATTTAACAACACAAAGCTTGCTGTCAAGTTGGCTGAAGCAAGCAAGCAAACTCTCTCAACCAGGAGGTAAGGGGTTTGAAACCTCCAGCCTTCATATTTTGAGTATTTGAATATTTAATATATAATTAATATATATTAAATAATTAAATATAAATCGGTTTGGTTCAGTCTGGTCTGGTTTCTAGACCACTGATTCGATTAAGTGTTCGGTTCGGTTTTTTTTTTTGGTTTTCGGCTTTTTAAACCCACCCCTATTGAAAACATGAAAAACAAGCATATAATAAGTGTTCATCCAAGTATCCAAGGTGTCACATCCCGGCCCGGGTGGGACCACTTCCCGGGCCCGCTCCACCACCGTAGCACGATATTGTCCGATTTAGGCCCCGACCACGCCCTCACGGTTTTGTTTCTGGGAACTCACACGAGAACTTCCCGATGGGTCACCCATCCTGGGAATGCTCTCGTGCGCTACTCGCTTAACTTCGGAGTTCCCATAGAACTCGAAGCCAGCGAGCTCCCAAAAGGCCTCGTGCTAGGTAGGGTGGGAATATACATTTAAGGATTAGTCCCTTGGGCGATGTGGGATGTCACAATCCACCCCCCTTAGGGGCCCGACGTCCTCGTCGGCACACCACGACCAGGGTTAGGCTCTGATACCAATGTCACATCCCGGCCCGGGTAGGACCACTTCCCCGGCCCGCTCCACCACCGTAGCACGATATTGTCCGCTTTGGGCTTACCATTCCCTCACGGTTTTGTTTCTGGGAACTCACACGAGAACTTCTTGATGGGTCACCCATCCTGGGAATGCTCCCATGGAGCCCGAAGCCAGCGAGCTCCCAAAAGGCCCCGTGCTAGGTAAGGTGGGAATATACATTTAAGGATCAGTCCCCTGGGCGATGTGGGATGTCACACAAGGAGTCTCTTACAATTTATTGAAAAAATAAATGCTAAATGAAAGTTATTTATTTTTGTCTAAATGAGTCACAAGTTAGGTGGGCCTAGGCGTTCTAGGCTGTCCTGGGTGCAGTTTCTTATTATTATTTTTTTAAATGTCTAGAAATTAATCGTGGTGGTCACCAACCACTTAGTGCCTCCTAGGCACTAGGTGGAAATTTTTAGAATAGTGCATAAGAGAAAAAATAAAATTTTTAAAATATGGGGAAAAATGAAATTCAATATATGGGAACAAATTAAAATAGAAATATATAATACAAGTCATAAATATGAATATACCAAATTTAACATTTTTAACACTAAATGGATATGTCTAAAAATGGTTAAACAATTTGTAAGTAGAAAGACTTTGGATGTGGTATCTAGCTTCCAATATTTTTTTACTGAAATCTTATTAGTTTTCAAATTTTGGCCGAAGTCTCTAAAATTAATGTACTTCTATGTCGTTTATTATATTTTAGATTAACAATTAAACTTTACAGTTGCTTATATTATTGAAATTAAAAAAAAAAAATCTACGATTTGCGAAATTGAAAATAGTGAAAGATAAATTATACTCCCCCCACCTCGTAGAAAAAAAAATTCAAAATCAATAGAAAATCATGTTTTGTCATAACAAGTGTGAACATATATAGATAAACATGGGTACATTTATAAAACATAACCAAATAACTATTGTACCATAATGTTTGGTAGATTCTTCAAACCCAAACACATAAGTACATTATTCAAAATCACACACCAAAAATACTAATTAGGCTTAATAATATTGATAATTTTTTTAATAAACTTGGCATGGATACATTCTAAAATCTACAAAAAAGAATGTACTCTTATAAGTTCAAAAAATGGATTAGGAAAAAAGTGAATGAATTTTTAGATTTAAAAATGGGTATATTTTATATTTTAAAAAAATTTGATATATCTTACTATTTACTCTAAAAATTACAACGCCAACGTGGAGTGCATGCTAAGTAACTATGAATGCTGCTGTGCAAAATCGCAATCAAGCTTCATTAGGTGAGTATAATAGATGTGGTGGTGGTTGTGTGAACACGCTGTTGACTTTTGCACTTGAGCTATTACAGTCGAAAAAGGAATGCATCTCAAACTTGGGTTCTAGAACCTAAAGACTAGGTTGCTAGACAACTCCGAAGTTCAATAACCGGTTAAGCTTTCAATGTGTTGAACACGAAGTAACCTTACACCTTACTTCACCGAGAAGCTAATGAAGTGACATTTTTAGCCGAAAGGTAGAAACTCTTCAACTACCAAGACTTAGATAGATAAACAACTGACCAGAAGCAATGTTGTTTACTTGTCCAAATTGAATGTGTTGCTGAATCGTCTGAATCTACGGCTCCAGTGATGTTTACTTATCCAAACTGAAGATGTCGTTAGTTGTCAATATAGTGTTGGTTACTTATCTAAACTAAAGATGTGTTGACGAAAGGGTTAGGTTAGTTAGTATTTTTCTTAGAGGTGTGAAAAGGGTTTCACGTAGAGCAAGGGTTTTCGCGTAGAGTGTTTGAGTTGAAGGACTTTTCATGTTGTAGAATCTTTTCTATTTATACGATGGTTTCCAAGATAAACAACTCTACCAAGGTAGAGTCTTAATAAGGTTGTGTTTGCTCGGCATTTACCTGAATATTCTTCATTTATCTCTTTGACTTCATTTTAGCCAAGATTTCATCTTCATACAATCTCGGCCTCTTTAATTCCAACAAAAATTCTGAACTTTATCCTTTTATGGGAATGAAATAATCTTATTTGATCAAGAATGAATTCCGATCCTTAAAATAATTCTCATCTAATCAAGACTCTTTTTGATCCTTGGAAATTTCAATTTGCCTAAGACTTGACCGAGGCACATCTAAACTTAATCCTTTTGCAGTCCTACTTTTATGAGGACACGGTCAAATCAACCATTTCCTGGGCTGAAAGCCCATTAGCCTGAGGGATCTTTACTAGGCATAGGATTGTGGCTTTTCAACTCGGGTTAGCCAATTCTTAGTCTAAGCTGCTATTTCATGCCCAAAAACTTATATATAACAAATTGGTATATTTAAGAATGAATATGTTTAAGATTAAAAAATTCAGCAAGTGACCCTTTACCACAGTGGTGGAAATGTGTCGTGTCCTTGCATGATAGCGTGGGTTAAACCCTGTCGATGACTAGTCTAACATCTAATCTAACAAAAACAATCGTTTGAAAAAAAAAATTAAAAAATTGAAAACATTTTATATAAAATTAATGAGTGCAAACTTATTTTTATTTTATTTTATTATATCTAGGAAAATTTTTAAACTAAAAATTAATTAGTAGATTAATGACGGTGTGAGTATTAAAACTGTATTATCAATTACCTATTTTTATTTAAAAAGAAATTATGTAACTAACATGACATATAAATTCATTAATACATTAATGTTAAAGACTTTTTATCAAAATTTGAAAACCAATCAGATCCAATCAAAGAGTATTAATAGTTAAGAACCGAATACTAATTTTTTTCCAAATTTCGTGTTATTTTCAACTATCAATCATATCAACAAGAAGAACAATAACATTGACAAACAGAGCATGTTTATTTTTTATAGTATACGATGTAATATGTTAAATTACTTAAAAGACTGTAAGGCTGGCGTAAAAAATAATAGAACTCATGTTATATATAATTATTAATTTGCCAATGACTCTTAATTTTGTTCAATCTTGGTGAGAGGGTTAGAATGATATTTTGTGGAGTTTTGGTTGACTAAAAGTGTTCTATTAGTAAGAAGGTTAGACATAACAAAATTTGTAGACATAGTAATGCACTTTTAGCGATACGTTAGGATTACATGTAGGTGAGACTTTGAAAAAAAATTGCAAAATTTGGTTGTGTGAAATTACATTTTTGCCCCGTATTTCTTATTCATGTTATGTTTAATTAGAGGGTTAAACTGGAAATTTCATAGGGTTTTGGTTGACAATGAGTGTTTTATTAATTAGTAGACATTATTATTCTGAATAACTTTGGTAATAACTAGGATTTTCCCCAATCAAAATTAAAATATCACAATTTACAATAATATTTTTTTTATTTTCTCCTTATTGAAAAGAATATTCAAACTTGAATGCATATGAAAGAGTAACTTTCTATTATTATTATTATTATTATTATTGGTAATAACTAGGATTTTCCCCGATCAAAATTAAAATATCACAATTTACAAGAATATTTGTTTTATTTTCTTATTATTGAAAAGAATAATGTTAGGCATATCAAATTTTTGCACCAAATGATTTGCCACCAATCAAAATTTTATTTTAATTCAAGTTGAAATTGATTGACAATTTAATTAAAATATATATGAAGAAAACGTGTTCCATCATTCATTTGGTGTACGTGACATCAACCGAAAAGAATAATGCAAGTTTTGTGTACCAAGCCCAAAAATGAAATATGCCGATGACCTGCTCCACCCCTCGTAAGTCCACATTTATGCCTGTTGTAGCTCAAGACCCATTTACGCGAACAAAAAAAAAAAAACAGCACAGGTCCCATGGGGCCCGTCATCATCACATTTAAAAGTGGACCCCACCATCTTAACTACCTGAACTTCATAAGTAAAAGTGAAAGAACAAGGGAGTGGAGCAGGTTCCTGCTGCTGCTGGGTACTTGATAGCAGAGAAGAGCCCGAGAAAAACAGTCACAGAGGAAGAAATCTTACCAGGTATTCTGTTGCTTTTGATAATTTCTATTTTTTGCAGTTGCCCTGTTGCATGTTTCACTTGGAGCTGCTGTATTTACCATTTTTTTTTCCTATTTAATTGTTTTTTGTTCATTCAGTTTTGAATAATTATATGGATAGATAGGGTTAGAAGTTCTTGAGTTGCTTCTAAACAGAGCTAAATAGAGGTCAGTTCATTTATATTTTGAATAATTATATTTTTGTGTGTCTTCATGCTTCTCTAGCTTCTTCTCCCTTGCCGTTTCAGATAATTTCAGTGAATTTGAATTGGATTTGTAATGAAAGGTCTCTGCAAAATTGCTGATTGATTGAACTTACGTAAAGAGAAATGGACCAATAAAAATGCAGATTTTCTTTTGAGGAATACAAATTCTAGATTTTTTAAAGCATTTTCATTTTATTGGAGCAAATTAAATGCCATTAGGGTTTATATAGGAACTCAATCTCTCCTAAATGCTATAATTTTTGTGAGCAGTATCTTATAAGAACGGTTAATTGAATTGCATTTGATTTTATGTCTATAGGTGTAATTCGTGAACTAAATTTGCATCAATCTCTTATGGAACTAGCACTTTCTTCTCGATTGTTCCCTTCAAATGCAACAAGAGGTGTCCATAAGATTAAGCCTTATAGCTCCATGCTCATTGCCTCACAAAAGTTGTCCGCCCAGAAATCGTTTCCATGTCTTGCAGCTGTTGCTACCCAAGCAGCCCAGGTTACTTTTCTCATTTCTCATCTTACTTTCTTCTTGAAATATTTTCGCTCAATTCATTTTTTTATCACATAAAATTTTTGATCTTTATCAATGCCAGACGGTGGAGCTTGAGGTAGAGAGCAAGAAACATGAGCTGTTGAGAGCTATACAAGACACCGGAAGGGGCCTTGTTACAACTGATGATCAACGCTCGTTTATAGAGGAGGCTCTGGTGTGGTCTCTTTATTTTCATTACATGAATTTTGTTACTATATATCTCTTTTCTGTCGTATAATCTCGTTCATGAAATTGCATTAACATACATCAGGTACATGCTATGTAGTTGATGGTTTCGGAATATCCAAGTTCATAGAAGTGGGATTTTTGTTATAATAACTTGTGTAAAAGCCTGCCAGGTGAGTGTGGAGGGCTATAACATGGGTGCACCAATAGACTTGGTGAAATTGGATGGGACGTGGCGTTTGCAATATACTTCCGCTTCTGACGTTCTCATTCTTCTGGAAGCGGCTGAAAGGCTACCATTTTTTCAGGTATAAACAACGAATGTCACATTATGGAATCTTATCATCTTCTAAAATAGCTTAACATGCTTTTTTACCTAGACAAAAGAAAATAATCCGTTTATATTAAACCCCTGAGCTTTTGGTCTCCTTCGCATTGTTTTATATTCTTTGAATATTCTGATTCTTCAATTACCTTAATCTTCCTGCTTTCATCTGTTCATAATAAATGGTAATCTTTCAATGAATGTACTGGCTAAAATCCTTTCTACCTGAACAACTTTTCAATTTACGGGTCACACTTCATACTCACAAAACTTAATGTCTTTACATTTTTAACACTTTCAGTTGTGCCATAGTTGACTTGCCTTTTCTTTTATATCTTTATAGTTATTGATTTCTTTTGTTGTCCTTCATCCTCCCTTATTTCAACATGAATGTGGGGATAGGTTGGGCAAATTTTTCAGAAATTTGAATGCAAAGACCAGACCAACGGGGGAGTAATCCGTAATGTTGTCAGATGGAGCATTCCACCTTTGTTAGAGGTAATGAGTATTCTGAGTTCTTAGTTAGAAAATTTTGTTTCTTAGATTGTTCAGGGGTATGATCTAGTTTCTTAAATCATGTTGTTTCGTTGTATTTGGTATGACTATAATTAATGTATTTTGGGTTATGCTTGTACATCCTGATTTTAATTTAAATTGCTTATGATTTTCTGCGATTTGATCAGCAAAAGATACTATAGAATATAGATAAGATCAGATTATTTAATTTTACCAAGTATAGAAGATAATATAAACTCCAAAAAGGTTGCTCATATATATATATATATATATATATGTACATGTATGTGGTTGTAGGTTGTAGGAATGCTTCTGTTTTCTCCATGAAACGCAAACGTCAAATTTGTATAGATTATATGAGTTCTATGCCCCTTGTAGGAACAAGAAGGTGCGACTCTGCTAGTTTCTGCAAAATTTTCGGTTGTTTCTGTGCGTAACATCTACCTTCAGTTCGAAGAGGTCAGTTTACTACCCTCTTCTGAAGTTTTAACTAAGGCTGCAAGCTGTGACTTTTGCTACTATTCATTTGACCTGATGGTCATGAATATAATTGTGTCTTCTGAGCTTTCATATTGCTTTACATCGTCTTTTACAATTTTCTAAACACGCAAACTTCTCGATGCTCTTCTTAAAATTAATTATCTGAATTCTGCAAGTTGTATTTGGCAGATTAATGTTCAAGATATTAAAATCAGTGAAGAGCTGCAGGCTCTAATAGCTCCAGCAATATTGCCACGATCGTTTTTAAGTTTACAGGTCAATTAATGTCACTTATCAAATTAGTGAAGAGCTGTAGGCTCTAAGGCAACTCTACTTTTTCTTTTTCGTCTATAATAACGAGGATTATATGAATTCTGTTGTGCAGATCTTGCAGTACCTCCGGACTTTCAAAGCGCAAATTCCCGTTAGAGATCCAGGAAGGTACGTCATTCTTAATCATATTTATCAGAGCACATTTAGCAAGCTTCCTGAATATACATTAGTATGATCATATACTTTGTTTAAAACAGTAGGCAATCAGTCGGAGGACTATATTACCTTTCTTACTTGGATGCTAATATGCTTTTGGGGCGCGCGGTTGGCGGTGGAGGAGTTTTTGTTTTCACCAAAGCTCAACCTCTGAAGTAATGGGGAAAGCTAGTGAAACCAATTACCGGCACCTATTTTTTTCGTGTGAAGAAAAGCTTCGAAGGTGGTATGTGGCTGATGAGATTACGGTTTAGCTCAACAAATATCGTAAGACTATTGTCTATTTTTTCCATGAGCAGTAATGTTTACCAGGTACATTCTTGTGAACCTTGCTCCCTCTCCCTTGTGGAAAACTGAAGAATACAGAGGCCTTTCGTCCTGTTTTCGGTTTCATTATCCCGGCATGATTAATTCATACGTTTGGGTTAGTTGGAACAATGAAATTTGTCGATCATATTTGTATAGATCCCTTAAGAAATGGGATCCCCCATTTTTTGGGACAGAAATTCATTCAGGATTCCATTGTTCGGAGCCCAAGGAGGAGGCAATCCCGACCTCTCAAATTGAATACGAGGGTCTCTACTAACTCATTTTGCTGGTCTACCTTATGCAAACCACAAGTTCCGATTTCTCTTTCACACAAAACACCTTAGTAGCAAAACCAAAATGTATGAATTCTAGGAAAACAAACTCTATGGAGTGCTCTATTAATGAGTGAAAGGTCTTATGTTCAAAAACTCATGACAGTTCGATATCGATTTGTTTTTCTTTGATCCCTAGGTATCCGTTTGACTAGATTGTTATGGACCGTTTAGATGGGATGTTACAATGATACAATACTTGTGCTATCAGAGATATTTGAATTTCAAATACAAGGAAACAGATGCATATCCCATTTTAGTTTTGTTTACACGGTCCATATTTATTTACAAATGTTAATTGGACAATATGATGATTCTTGGGATAGCATTCCTAGGAACCTGGAAAATCTTGCAACAATATGGGGAGGCTCTATTGCTTGCCCTTTGTCATTAAATTTCATCAGCTCCTTTGTACCATTGAGTGCCCACCATGGCCTATTTATTTCCCTAGGACCCTGTGCTCTACGGGTTGTAAGATGGCGTTCATCCACTACCCCTTCGACATTATTTGGAACCCTTAAAAGATATATGTGGTCATATTCCATTAGCTTGAATGGCGGTGGTTGAGTTTCAAGGCCATTGTCAAGCAACATTGATGCAATTGAGTTATTGTTCCTGGACCACATTAGCTTTGTCAGCTTCCTTTCATGTAAACACCTTTCATGTAAACACAAAACTAGCGTGTTAAATTAACATTTGTAATTAAAAGCATTTCTATTTAATTCTACAATTAATTTTCTAGTAAGGAGAGATGTGTGTTGGAAACATTATCAACATATTTGATAATCCTAATCACTTGTGTAGACTAATTAGAATTCTTACCTGAAGAAGACATTGTCTCAAGTTCACGTCAATTCTTCTACTCACTCAAGCCCTTAATATTTTTATGGTGATAGAACCCTATATCGAAGAATGAATGCTCTGTGAGCAGGAAATTACACATATATTGAAAACAATGACAGCCAACTCCCACATGAACGTTGACTAGTTGTGGTTTACAAGATGTATGTCAATGCAAATTCATTCCTTAGTGATCACAAATAATTTATGTCACTAATCATCATATACACCTTTGCCAATATCCATTAGAAACTTGAACTCCAGGAAATAATACACGTAAAACTACTGCTTCATTCTGAAATCATAAGTTTTAAGTTTATATCGCATAATGCAAGTGAAACTGCATTTATACACATTCTATATTTGTTCACTTTACTTCTCCCACATATTATCCAAATCCCTTTCTTTGATTGAACTCAGAATGCTCAATTTCAATACCATTTCAAGTCCCTGCATTATAAAATTCAGTCACACATGCTCTTTGGAACAAGGATTAGACATTTTATTGCATGCTAATAATTAAGAAAAACTTATACTTGCAATGTCAGTGATGAACTTGAAATAACCTGAACTGAAAAGCAATCCGTCAGTACTCTACACTTTTACTCCCACACTTCTGCTGAGAAAAACCCATCTTGCTTTCCTATATTCGAAACATGATCTTTGAAAATTCCCACAGCATGTGGCTTAGTCAAGGGGTCTGCAAGCATCAGTCTTGTATCAACATGCTCAATTTTGATTTCCCTTCTTCAAATGTTCCTTCACTGATAGATATTTGACATCCATCAATCGAGTGGCCTCAAATTTCTTGTTGTTTCTTGAAAGAATAAGGCTGCTTTGTTGTCACAATGTATGGTTAGTGGTCCTTGAATGGTGTCCACTATTCTCATAAATGTTATGAGATTTTTCAGCCATAGACCTTTCTTAGTTGTCTCAAACAAAGCTATAAATTCAACTTCCATGGTCGATGTAGACATGGCCTTTTGCTTGGCACTTCTCCATGATTTTGCAGCTCTTGCCAAAAAAAAAAAATCTACTCGTTGATCTTCTATCATTGACGCAACCTGCGAAGTCGGAGTTTGAGTATCCCACAAGCTCCAAGTCTTGCACCCTTTTGTATGTCAGCATGAATGACTTAGTCCTTTGCAAGTACCTCAGCACCTTTTTGGTAGCAACCCAATGTTGTTCCCCAGGATTCGACTGAAACCTTCCCAATACACTAATCGCAAAAGCAAGGTTCGATCTCGTACAAACTTGAGCATACATTATACTCCCAACCAATGATGCATAGGGTTTGGTTTTCATACCTTGCTTTTCGAGATCATTCTTGCGACACTACGACTTGTTCAACCCATCTCCTTTCCCTATTGACACTTCACCATTCGAACACCTATGCATATTAAATCGTTGAAGCACCTTCTCTATGTATGATTTCTGCGAGAGTCCAAGCATCCCTTTGGCTCTATTTCATGATTTCTATCCCAGGGAAAAAAAACGCATTTCCCATGTCTTTCATCTCAAAAGTTTTAGATAGCAAAGCTTTTGTTTCTATCAATAGGTTCATACAATTGCTTGCTAGAAGAATATCATCCATATACAATATGAGAAAATTGTACCTTGAGCCACAAATCTTCAAACATATGCAGTCATCTATTTTATTCTCACTAAACCCAATAGTAGTTACTTTCTCATCGAACTTAAGAAACCATTACCTCGATGATTGCTTTATCCACATATGGATTTGTTCAATTTGCAAACCATTCATTCTTCTCCTTCTTTCATGAAACCAAATGGTTGCTCCATATATATTTCCTCATCCAAATTGCCATTAAGAAAGGTCGTTTTGACGTCCATTTGGAGAAGTCCAAGATCATAGTGGGCCACCAGTGCAAGGATAATTTGCAGGTTGTCTTTTGTTGAGACTGGAGAAAATGTCTCATTATAATCAACCCCTTCAGCTTGAGTGAATCCTTTACCCACCAATCTCGCTTTATATCTTTTAATCTTGCCTGTTGAATCCTTCTTCGTTTTGAAGATCCATTTACACCCTATTGCCTTTGTGTTCTCTGGTGCTTATACTAGGGTCCAAACTCCATTAACTTTCATGGAGTTCATTTCTTCCACTATGGCATTTCTCTAGAACTCTGATTGTTTAGATTGCATGGCTTGACCAAATGTTGCTGGATCCTCAATCATTCCCTCAATTATCTCAATCTCTTGATAATAAACAAAATAATCGTCAGGAACCACTGATCTTCTTATTCTTGATGGCAACGTTGTTCTCTCAACAATGGCTTGTTGCTCAAGTGACCTACTTCCTGTTTGCGACGAAGAACCTGTTATTTCCATTGCTTGATCATCACTGACTACATGATTGTCATCTTCTAATGGCAACTCATTCAATACTTGCTGCACTAGTAGAGTTTCTTGACTATGCTACAAGTCATCGAAATTAATTGCTTGACCACCAAATGATCCATCAACACTTCCTTTTGGCAACACTACCCTGGTTTCTTCAAACCATGAACTTGAACTCTCCTTATTTGAACTTAGTGAATTATCATCTTCCTCAATAAATTTTGCTAAGTCAGTCTCGATAATTCTAAGAGGAAGATTTGGAGAATAAAACCTATATCCCTTAGACTTGTCAGGGAGCCCCACAGAATTACACAAGACATTTCTTGGATTAAGTTTCTTCTGCCTCAATATACCTACATAATATTCTTCTCCTTTATCCGACCTTAATACTTTGATTTTTAAATCCAATTGATTATTTACTTCAGTTTTAAAAGCTTTAAAACAATTCAAAATTGAAGATTTTTCCGAGATCAAATAAAGATATGCAAATCGTGAATAGTCATCTATAAATGTCACAAGGTATATATTTCCACAAAGAGTTTTAGTAGGAAAGGGTCCACAAACATCGTTATGGATTATCTCTAAAAGCTTTAGACTCCTTGTTGAACCCTTCTTCTTTATTTTTGTCAATTTTCCTTTTAAAACAACCTATGCAATTCACTAGGTCATTGAAATTCAGATTAGGTAAAATATCTTCTTTTACTAAACATTTCATTTTGGCTTTAGAAATATGACCTAGTCTTTTATACCATAGCATTGATGAAAATTGATTTGAATTTAATATTTTCATTGACAATAAGGAAATCACATTAAAACAATCCAATTCATTTGCAACTGAGCAAAGACCATTCATTAGAAAACAAACTCCAATAACATTGTTTGGATTATTTTTCAAGTAAATCCAAATACTTTCATCGTCACCGGTAAAAGCATAATCGGATTTTACAAGTTGTGGAACTAAAATTAAACTCCTTAAAGAAGGTACATATAAAACATCAAATAACTCCAAAATAAAACCACTAGACAACCAAGGATGGACCTGTATAGGGCCTAGGGAGCATCTGCCCCTACTCAATTTTGTGTGTGTGTGTGTACTTTTGCATTCCAATTCGCAAGCCCTAATTAAACTACAGATGAAAAAATAGAATGCATTTCAATTCCAACGTTAATTCTATATAAACTATAAAAAAAAATGGTCTAGCGGAAAAAAGACAAGGTGTATCCGCTAGTTTACATACTTGTGATATTAGCATTAACTCTTCCAGTTGCTACTGCCATCGTTGAAAAAACATTTTCGGTTATGGAATTTCTGAATTGATTAAGAAATCAAATGGAAGACCAATGAATGAATGATAACATGATTATTTTTATAGAGAGAGATATTTGATGGTATTGGTAATGATGTTGTCATGCACTGCTTTCAAAACATGAAAACTTGTCTAAACTATTATTATATTAATCTAGCTATAACTATTGAGATTTAATTGGCAGCAAGTAACAACAGCATCTTGATTAATCATTTTTCTCACTCTCATTACTTATGGTAGCAGCATCAGCCCCCTTCTTCTTGCTCTCATCTCTGGCAGCAACATCATCATCATTCTTCTAAATCTCATCTTTGACAACAGCTTTATCCTTCATTTCCCTTTTCTTGATCTCAACCTCAACACATTCCTTTTCAATCTCATCTTTAACAGTAACCTCATCCTCCCTTTCCATTTTCTTGATCTCAGCCTTAGCCTCATAGTACAAGCCCAATTGCACTTTGGCCCTTATTTGTGTCCAAAAGTACAAATGCATTTTTCAAGTCGGAATCTTTAACATTGATGTTGAATATAACCATGTTAATACCATATACTTTGTCACACACCCTCTTTGCGTTTCTGGATCTTAGAGAACAATTCTTGAAATTTGATAAGTCACCCATTTTTTTTATGTTCTCTTTCTTCAACTCTTTCACTCACCACCAAGTCCATGTCCAACACCACACCAAAGTGTCGCACATCTCAAATTGTTCTTCTCGAGTTTCCTAACTATGAACAACATGTTAAAGATTATAAAATCAGAAGCATTGTAAAAACAATCGTAACCATGTACATCATGATACTCTTGCAAAAGATTTAACTCAATTAACGTCCATTGATTTTTACTACTTGTGAATACAATTTCACAATGATTAAATGAAATTTACTTATATTCTAGCTCCAAATCCCTACATGCAAACTAAGTAGTCCTCCTTAATAAACATACAAAAATAAGTTCTTTACAAACCGGATAAGTGAATCACATTCACTTTTATGAAACAAACAATGGATGTAATCAATTCATATAAAACAAGTGTTCATGACTTCAAATTCATCTCTAACTAAAAAGAACTTAGTTACACATGTTCATCAAAATTGAAAAACAACTTATAAGAAACATTGAAACTAAATAAACAAGATGAAAAATTAGAAATCCTACCTCTTCAATTGTAGAATCACTTGAACGGCTGTCGAGAATTATGGTAGAGGGGTGCAACAGAGGTGAGAAGGTGTTGGTGAAGAAAATGTCAATTTTTGATGTAAGTATATATAAACGTACAAGAAAGTTCGGATTAGAGTAAGACTCTAAGGAGAGCATTAAAAGCTTATTGATGAACATATTCAGTGTGTACTTGCTAGTTCCTCATTCAATGAACAATTACTTGAATAAAAATCATGATTTATAAAACAAATACGTTGATGACGTATGATTAAAATTGTTTGTTACATACATAAGCATTTCCGAATGTACCATGAAGTTCAATATCACATCACCCAAGTACTGACCTGCACTTTCTATTTGTTTATTTATACGATCCATCTTCATGATTTTTCTTAAACTTTAACCTATCAGTGTTCACTTTTTATGATCATCCAGCAGCTACCTCTTGTTTCTCGAAATCTCTCTCTCCGGCCCCTTCTTCTTTTGAATTCTCCTTTCAAATTCTTCGTTGTTCTACAAGTCTTCTGCAGCTGGGGTAGCAAGAACTTTATATACATTAGTTAATATATATTAGAATATATAAACATGGGAGACTCTTCTGCTTCATACATCTACTTGGTAAGCCTTGTTATAATTTATATAAAAATTCTTCTGCTTTTTCTTGATCACCGAGATGATGTAAATCTTTGATTCAAAATATATAGGATTGATACATAAAAAAAACGTCACAAGGCAATTCGCGAAATTTAGTTTTTCTCAAGTTTTTGTAAACCAAGAGCACTTAATGACATTTTTGAAGTGGTGTTGTTTTATTTTTTGATATTTTGTGGTGATGAAAATTAATGGTGGTGACATACATGACTATAAATAGGTGCACCATTTAATCGATGAGTGCATCATATTCAACATCAGCAAAGAGGAGTGCATGGAAGCCTTTTCTAAGGATGCAAACATAAAACCCATCATTACACTTGCACTTGAGTTGAGACCCAATAGAAACATTTTAGATAATCTAAACGGGGCTCGTAAGATTAAGGCCCAATTACCACAAAAAGAGGTAGTGGTAAACCTCCAAACTGTCCTTTCAAGTTTTTAAACTACATTGATATATCTCATTTCCATCATATATTGAAATAAATCAATTCCACATTTCATAATTTAAGTGAATTGTATCATCGTGTGACCTTATTCTAAGTACAATGAAAAAAAATTACACTAAAAAAAAATAAACAATGAAAAACTAAAACAGAAGATTCATTGAAAAGTTGGAACAAATTTAAATCACAACTGAAGACAGTATAATCAGGTTCACATATACATGATCTTGTTGCATATCTTGTTGTTTCAGATGCGACTAAAGAAGTGTTGTTTCTCGATGTTGTACCCATCTTGCACTTGTCAGATATTGAATTGTTGTCATTATCATTTCTCAACCACAAGTTTCTTGGGTATAACCAGTATAGGTCATATGATATGTTGCAAAACTAGTAGAGAATAATGCAATTTAATCATGCATGAGGAAGGAGAGTAAAATATAGGGTATATCATTGCATTTTCTTTACAATACTCCAAGTTTCAACGTTTTTAACCAACCATAAAGTATAAGCTTCTTTCCTTCTATACACATGCATCATAACCTCGACCATTACATAGCATGATGAATTCTTGTCTTTTTTAATAAATTTGATTTAATTCGATATATTTCATCTTTCTTTTAGGAATTCCTCTTATGCTATTGAACAAGAAATGACTTGCATGATAATCCTTCCATTCATAGGAGTATATGCAACTAGCCCTAGTCTTCCATAAGTAATGTTGCAATTGGCATTACAACCTACATTGGTTTAAACCAACAATCATTGAACACACATTTGTTGGTTTTAATATGCTGCCTGACCTCGCGTACACTATGATAATGCATCGTGCTGACTAGAAGCTTTTCTAGTAGAACATGATGTGTGATTCAACTCCTAACAATGAGACACATAGATTAATAAAGCAATGATTGCAATCGAATCACATCAAGATATATTGCTGACATGTTATTTATTAGATTAAAATAGGATGTGTTTGAAATGATGACACTCTCGCTCGGAGTCGGGACATAATTAGTTAATCAAAAAGAGTATAAAGCATAAATTTAACGAAAAAACAAAAACATAAACATTATTGAAAATAATATTGATTCCTCTTGATCTCTCATACTTTAACCAAGCTTTAACAACAACAAACACTAGATCATAATCCACCATCCATCAAAAGAACTAACCTAAACTAAATTATTGTTATATTAAACTAGCTATAGCTGTTGAGAATTAACTGGTAGCAAGCAACAATAACATCTTGATCAATCATTCTTCTTGCTCTAATCGCTTATGGCAGCAACATCAACCCCCTTCTTCTCGCTCTCACCTTTGACAGCAGCCTCATCTTCCCCTTTCATTTTCTTGATCTCAGCCTCAGCATATTCCTTTTTCTAAAATTAATCTCGACAGCAACCTTATCCTCTATTTCCCCTTTCTTGATCTCACCCTCAGCCTCAGCATCTTCCTTTTCCTTTTTGTTACTCATATACTTTTAGGTTTGGCAAAACTTTACTACAAAGATTCCACAGCAAAGGGTGGTCAAAACAGTACAGAGGCCAAAGAGTACAAGTTCAGCTTGCAATTTGCCCTTGTTTGTATCCAAAAATGCAAACACAATTTTCAAGTCAAGAACTATGTCAATGATGTTGAATATGGTCATGTTGATATTGTGTACTTTGTCATATACGCCATCTTTGAGTTCCTAAGTCTTAGAAGAAAATTCTTGAAATTTTGAAAAAGGCACCCATTTTTCTCCCTATTCTTTGTCTTCTCTCTATTCTCTATCTTCAACTCTTTCTCACTCACCACTAGGTCCAGGTCTAACACAACACTAATTCAAAAAACACACCCAAAGAAAGAATGAGAAAAATATGATTAATGAGATAAGTGTTTTATAGAGCTAGAAAAACCCACACCCTTTCCAATAATTTGGTCTTGACAACCCATTTTCTCACTCCCTCTTTCTGCCATTCTTTCAATTTTTGTGGTCCCTCCCATACGAAATAATTTAATCGTTGACTCTTTTTCTCTCAATTTTAATTATAATTTTTAAACACAAGTAGAATAGTAGACAGCAATACGGCTGTTTAATGGGTGATGCGATGAGGATGAAGAAAAGAGAGGATGAAGGTAGGGGTAGCAAGGTCATTGCAATTGACCACCACTTGTTGTTTTGGTTTGGGTTGGAGTGGAGGCCCAAAACGAATCCCACTTTCTCTTTGTAGTTTTGTTTTGTTTGTTTACTCATATTATACTCGGAGGCTTGACAGAAAAAAATTACTACACTGATTAATTATTTTTGTTGATTCAATAATACATTTACACTAAGAAGTGGGTGCAGTACAATAAAGTGGTATCAAACTCGCAATCAACAATGGTACTAAGTGGTTGAGCCACATAACATAACCATCACCTTAACCATCTGTTTAAATAACAAAATTTTCAAACTCGCACAACTCAAATCGTTATTGTAAAGTTTCCTAACTATGAACAGTATGATAGAATTACATATCAAAGATCATTAAGTTCCATGAAAATCATAAGCATTGACAAAGCAATTGTAACTATGAACATCATGATACTCTTGCAAAGGATTTAACTTAATCATCGTCCATTGATTTTTATTACTTCTGAATACAAGTTCATAACAATTAGGTAAAATTCACTTATATTCTAGCTCCAAATCCATGCATGCATGCTAAGTAGGCATCCTTAATAAACATAAAAGAATAAGTTCTCTACAAACCAGATAAGTAAATCACATTCACGTTCTATGAAACAACAATTGGATGTAATCAATGCATATAAGACATATGTTTATGGCTTCGAATTCACCTCTAGCTAAAAAGAACTAAGTTACACATGTTCATCATAATTGAAAATCAACTTATAATAAACATTGAAACAAAATAAACAAGATAGAAAATTAGAAATGATGCATCTTCAATTGTAGAATAACTTGAATGGCTGCACAAAATTATGGTAGAATGGTGCAACATAGGTGAGAAGGTGGTGTGAGTGAAGAAAATTCAAGTACGAATTGAAGTATATATAAGTGTGCAAGAGAGTTTGGATTATTGTAGAACTCTAGGGAATCGGTTGGAGAGCATTTAAAGCTTACTAGGACTCTTTCATTCAGCCGGAGATAGGATAGGATATAGTGGACAACTGCCACCTTATCTCTTGGTAGTGTTTCACTCCAACTAGGACTCCTTCTCATGCAGTTCCTTGTCTTCCATGCATCAACTTCAATTCCTTAAAATTTCAGCACATGTTTAACACCATTTAAACTCCAAAACATCCATCGTTTGTGCAGTCCACACATGTTATCCAATCCAAGTCCAAAAATGCTTCTATTTGCTCCATTTAACCTCCAATTGTTAACTTTACCAACTGAACCTATAATAAAACCAAAATAACATAAAATACTATAGCGAATAGAGATTAAGTAAATAAATGCAAAGAAATGATAATAATGCTGCACAAATATGCTCCTATCACATAAGCAGAAAAGAATAGCAGCAGGCTATAACAAGGCTTGTGAGTACACTGACTGGCATGGCTGAATAAAAAGGGATAAAATCGACAGTGATATTGAGATTGAAATCAAAAGATACTTGAGAATGATGAGCGTGTGCGCAAAGAAAACAAAATGCTTTCTCTTTATCATGTTCACGGTCGAACAATATGATTCTAATTGAATTTTTTTTTTTGCGGACAATGCAGTTATAGAATGTCTTTCTAGGAGGCATCTTTCGTTGTCATCAGGATATATTTGGATTGGATACACAGATCGGAAAATTTGAGGAGATTAAACAAAGATTCAGAGGAGGAGCTAGGGTTTAGGGTTTTAAGGTTTTGCATTAGGGCTTGACTATTTATAAACTACGTTTGGGCTTGAATATTTTTTTTTTCTTGAACAAACAATATTATCTATACTAAGAGGACAGAGTAGGCTTAACCTCATAATGGGCTAGCAATAATGTGGTTCAAACTTGTCTTCGGCGAGAATCGAACATAAGACCTCTCACTTACAAGTGAAGAAAAATCGTTGTACTAAGTGGCCAGTTGGGCTTGAATATTATTCAAGACAAAAAAATAAAGAAACGTCCTTTTCTTGTACGTCAAGTTATACAAAATTAATAATGTCTCCTGTAGAAAATTGGAGTGACAAATAAATCTTTCAATGACTCTTTTGGATATATTATACCATATTGGCATTGCTAATACACTATCAAAGATCCGCGTAGAACCTTGTGGTCGCCAGGAACAGCACTACATTCACGTTATGTTTGGGTTTGGTTCTAATCTGGAACTGGAACGCATGAAGAGCCACAGCCATCACAATATTTCGTTTTCCTTTTGTACTCGGACCAAAGCGTTTCGCAAGCGAAAGAAAAACCTACAATCGAAGCTTCATTCCAGCATTGCCAACGATCACCAGAAGTTATATGATATGTTGCAACAGTAGTATACGGTAAAGCAATATAATCATGCAGGTGGGAGAGAGTGAGTAAAAAAATTTCTGATTGCATTCTCTATACAATACTCAGAGTGTCAAGGTATTTAACCAACTATTAAGTATGGACTCCTTCCTATACACAAGCATCGTAACCTCAATCGCGTAATGAATACCTGTCCTCTTGAAAATATTTGATCCTGGTTTTCTCCTGACAACATTCCCTGTTTCTACCTTCAAACAAGAAATGAAACTTTTACACCTTTTGATGTAATATAACCTATACAATTACTCGATATAATTTCTATAAGCTTCCCGTGAAAATGGTTTGTAGCAGCGACATGTATATATTGATGGGACCTGGACCTGCAAACCAGCAATAAGAAATATTAACCGAGCAAACTATTCCAACGTTCTTTCAGGGAATTGTGTGCCTTTGAACAGGAAATGGCCTCCAAACTAATCCTTCCGTCAATAGGAGTTTCTGTAGCTAACCCCAGCCTTAATAATGTAGCAACTGCCTTGTCAACTGGCATTTCAACCTGCATGAGTTTAAAGTTCAAGCCAACAATCACTGGAAGCACAGACAGGGGGAGGCAGTGCCTCCACGGTCCACCCCTACAATATATTAAAATTGACGTGCAACAGACGTTGGTGTTTTACCTTTAGTTTAAACACATCATACATAAATCTTTCGCAGTCGTCTCCAACACTCTGGCGACACGTGAGCTGCAGTCATAGAAAAAAATATTGGTGCTTCGTGCAGCTAAAGAAATGCCTAAAGCAAGAAACATACCGAACTTCAGATCGAGTGCAAGAAAATATATGTTTAAACCAAAAACAAGAGCTTGTACAGATACATCTGGCCCTCTCAAACTCACAATTATGACAAGAACTTTGCCCCATGAATCTTAGCAGTTCAGCGAGTAGATATTTTTTAATGGAAACTAGAAAGACTCTTCATTGTAGCCATCAATTTTTGTAAGACCTTGAATGATCAAATAAGTTTAAACCATTGCTCTATGTGCCTCCTAGGCAAACATTCTATAACGGCAATGGCATTATCAGCAAAAAAAATCAATTAGGATCAAATGTTCGACTATGAACATGATAAGGAGAAAGTACCTTGTTCTCTTTCTGCACACACTCATCATTTTCAGCTATCTTTTGATTTCCTTATCCATACCACTACCGATTTTTTCACTTATTATTCAGCTATGCTACTCAGTGTACTCACAAGCCTTGTTACAGCCTGCTGTTATTCTTTGCTGCCTATGTTTTTCCGATTCATCAACAATATAATGTTCATATAGATTCATTCTACATGAGTTTAAGAGAACAATAGTAGTAGTGTACTTTCAACAAAAATATGTAAAGGTGATAATTTATAAGAAGCAAGCCTAGTAGTCGATTTAATGAACAAAGATCATAGTGAAGAGTAAAATTACTTCTAACATGAAGCATAGCACTCAAGTTAGGCAGTGAGATCAAACCTTCCCCTTGTTTGCTTTGAGAAGGATTGCATACGCCAAAATGGCCTCCTTGTACTGCAAAAAGTATAGCAAAGGATGTCATGTAGGGAAAGTACAGGATACCAATCTAATAGCAGGACCTAACCTAACATGTGACTAAACCATTTAGTACAGCAACTAACTGAATGAGGCAACTGATTTAAGCTGTTTTCTGGTTTAATTTACAGAATGCAACTTATTGTTTTTAACATTGTCATTGTTTTGCTTTTGATATTTAGGAAGTTCTCCCTAACTTGTGTAAAACTCATTGAATTCCCAGTAAATGAATCCTTATAATCTCTAAGCTGCTACTTTCCCGCCTTAATGTACCCTTCTCCCTACATATCCAGCGACCTCAAATAATTGAAATAGTTTCATACTTGTTGCTGTTCAGAAGCATCCAGAAGAAAATGAACTGAGCCAAATCCACTTGCCAAGGTTTTCTCATAGAGCGTCATGTTGACTAGAAGCTGTAACAAAAACCTCCTTTAGTAGATCACTACTTAAGTACCTCAGATTAAATTAGCATTTAGAACTATGTAACTGTACAAATTTGAATCCAAAGATATAGTTGACTCACTTGATACCTATCCCACGTCTGTTTGTATCCCAAAACCACACGGGACACATAAATTATAAGAGCGCTGATTGCAACCACATCAAGAACTATTGCTGACCTGGTATTAGATTAAACTAGGATATGTTCATGACAATTACAGAGAAATTTAACTTGGAAGAAAAGGCATATAATGTCCTAAATGTACTGCTTTAAAATATGCACAGCCTTAAAGAGTATAGAACATAATGATGTACCAATTGTTCTTGAACATGTAAACAAAAAAAAACAAAAGGAGGAAACAAGTACTTTGAACAAGGGAATGTCCACACACCCACCCATAAAGAGAGAGAGATCTAGCTATGCAAACTACTTGAAAAGTTAAAAACAAAGAGAATACATACGGGGAAGATAAGACATTAAAAAATTTGTAGTTTATGAAGAATGCCGAAAGCCCCAGTATTGAGGCAATGTCCAAGCGCACCTGCAAGTTAAAACAGTACACGGAAATGAGGCTCAAAATCTGAAAGGGCTTTGTTCAATAATCAGACAGATCCTACTTAATTTTCTCCTAATTCATCGGTCAAATTATACAGAACCAAAGTGACTAGAATTCAATTCACCGACACTCCACAAGAAGGAAGTGGGATTTGGCTCCAAGGGTGACAAAACCATAAACAACCAACTAAATAATTTTAAGCATCCTTTATGTGATAAGATGCATAGATAAGTCATAGCAACAAAAACCAAGCTGATAAAAACATTCATTAAGTTTTCAAAATGTTTATTAGTAAAGGACTAGCAAGTGGTAAAAAAATAAGTCAAAATTATTAGTAAAGGACTAGCAAGTGAAAAAAAAAAATAAAATAAAATAAAAAGGAAGTCAAAATTTAATAAAATGATGGTACTCAGAATCAGGTGAGGAGAGGAGAGATACTTCAGCAAATTATGGATCCACTAAGCTACATAATTGTTAGCATGTAGCAAAGATAAACATACCGTGTCTATGATACGGAAAGACAGCTTTTTGTGGGGAAAGATAACCTACAAAGTGAAACAAATGAGAATACCATAGGCTGGCACAGAAAAAATTACAAAACCATATGCTAGAAGAAATGAAAATTACAATGGATGAACTTTAAAATTGAGACAGAAGTATTTACTGGTAGATCCGGAATGGGAATTTTCTCATAAATCTTTAACTGCAACGATGGAACAGTAGCATTGTAGTCAGCATTCCTGCCATCTACTTCTTGGGTATAAAGCAAAATTAATTCTTGAAATGCTGCCTCCTGATTTCCAAAACACCATATACTATTACCATGACCTTGTAACTTGCATATCCACAAGTAACAGAAATACTAATAACCGCAGAAACTTTGCTCATACGAAATGGGCAATAAGGAAGTGAATTAAACTATATATGAGCAATACCTGGAGGATGGACTGAGAGAAGAGAATAGAAACAGAAGTTTTTAGCATTTTCCAAATATCATTTCCACAGTATTTCCTAGTAGCAGGCCTCCATATGTCACTGAGTGATATCCTTGATAAGAAGATCGGCCTGAGGAAGCAATATTACTATTAGCTGACCAATAAAGTTCCAACTACAATATCAATGCATATAAAAGCAATTCAATCAGTTAAAAATGTAAAATCACTTGTTAAAATAACATTACACCACCAATCAGTTTCTTTGGCCAATCGAGTAACGTTTAACTTCCATGTGAATTCTTCAAGACTAATCTTTACTGCACAATCACTGCTATAATCATTTCTTTTGTGACATAACTGGTTGTATAATCATTTTTAGGTTTTTGGTTTGAAAGAGGATCCTTAGACCTAGTACAAGTTACAACACATAGTATTCAATTATAAATAGTTGAAGACACAAAACAAATCAAACTTTGAGAGATCAACACCACACGTTCAGCTTGAATTCATTTAGTCAAGAATATTAATATTTATTAATTCTTTTAGCTAGTTAAGTTCAATTTTTTCTTTTTGAATTAGATGAAAAGAAGAAAGCAGCTGGAAATAGAAAAAAACATGGATGAAGTATGATGAAATGTGAAGAAGTAAAAGGTAGTGGAAAAAACCTTGCATAAGGGTCAGAATCATTAGTATCGCCATCCAGCTCAAATGGTGTTTCTGGTGTAGGGGAAATAAGTCCAATCCATGAAAGCAACTTCTTTAGGAGCCTTCCACGGGGTCCAACTGAAGATAAACGCCCTTCATAACGAGATACTGCCCTCTGTGCCGCCAGCCAAATTGGGAGGTCTTTATTTGATAGTTGCTCTACTCCCAGCAGATCATCAAAAGTTTGTTCGCTATAACGAAATGCTTGCTGGAAAACAGACAATTCCTTAAGCCAAAGCTTCATTCTTTTAGTCAAGTCTTGTACTTCTGGTGTTTCGCAAGCAACTTGGAATGCCTGTCATAAACCAAGAGAGAAAAAAAATGTCAAACTAAATATAAAGAAACTGAGAAAAGGAACAGAAACCTGAAGGATGCTGCCCCAGGATGAAGGCAGCCATTGTTCTGAAAAACACAATGACCTCAACTATCCAGCTCCCAAATTTCGCCAACGGTTTTGATACGATGAAGAAGGTTCCTTGTAGAATTTTGGACTGTATGTACTCCAGTTTTTCTACAAGTAGTAGACCCTTCTCCCTCTCTGTTGCATATCCTCGCCTGAAAGAGGAATTGACATTAACTTGAAAGCGGTCGGCTCAATAAAAAATGTTCATATAAATTTATTGTTCAGCGATCAAAGGTTAATATAAAAATGAAAACAGAGGACTGAGCCTAAAAATATACTCACCTGAATATAATTGCGTTGGACTCAGATGCCTTCTTCCAGTCAACATATATGGGCAAAGTAAGGAGATAATCTGTGTTCAATGCAGAAGTCAGCATTAAATCCCCTTCGGATAGTTCTTCAAACTGAGCATCATTAAGAAGTTGCATGAAAGAACGCTGGAAACGAGTGGAAACAGCAACTCTACAACACAAGAAAAGATTGCATAGGATGTCAAAGGCTTCCATACATGAGTCTGAACAACAACTAAAAGTAAAATAGAACATAAACATACACTGTGCCTGCCTCTTAAAGGTTATACCATCATTCTTTCAATCTTGTCAAACTTTTACCCCAAAAGTTACTGACCTTGTAAAGCAACATGGACAACGAAAAACTACCACCTTTGTCCTATTTCCCTTATAACAGTTGATTTCATACCATGAAATGAGATGAAGAGTTCTCTGCTGATACAAATGAAATTGACTAGGATACTTTGTAACAAATTACAAGCATATGCATTATACGTACCCACATATACAACTTCAACCCGATATTAGAGCAAGTATATTAAAAACCGGCAGCACTAAGGATTATCCCTCTAACATTGAAGGTTTTCTAAGCTCCTAACTTCTGCTGTATAAGTTTCTAAATTACAAATTTGTTTATAAAATCATAAAACAGAAGAAAACTTGACTTGTAGAGCAACTGGTGATACCTCTCAACGTTCTTAGCCGGAGAACCCAAGAGTTTTCGCAACTCCAAAACATAATCTAACTGCGGCATTGCGTTTCCACCTTCATTTTTTTCATCCTCATTTGCCTCAATGCTCTCGACTCCATTGATGACACTCCCATTAGCAGAATCCGAGCTCTGCCCATCAACCAAATCGCCATTTTGCTTGTTCTCCGCGGAATTCGATTTGAAATAATCAGCTCGCATTTCTTCCAAAATTCCCTTGTGCTCGGCGTGAAGAATGGAGTCCAAGCACCTGCAAAGCAAACAGCTTTTCATTGAATGTTCAAAATGTCCCAAACAATCAGAGCCCAAACGACGTCGTTCAATTGGGGCTTACGAAGAGAGAAGAAGAAAGCTCTGCAAGTCATCGTCGTCTTCACCGTTGCTGTCCTTGAACAAGTTCAAAACGACGCCGTCGAGAAGCTCGGCCTTGGAAACGGGGATGTACTTCTGCCTGGGGACCGGGATTTTGGAAATTCCATGGTCTTCTTCTACTTCTTCGGCTTGGTTATGATCGGGAACGATGTCGTTTTGCTTCTCGGTCTTGCCGGCGTCTTTCAAGCTTATAGCGGCGCCGGTGGTTTGGGTTCGCGGAGGCTCCGTCGACAGTTCTTGGAAGCTGGCGAGAAAGCAGTGAGCAACTGATGGTGGTGAAGGAATTAGACGGCGCTGTTTTGCGGTTACGGAGAGAGCTCCGAGGCCGGTGAGAGCGTGCCAAGAAGCTGACATGATCGCAAAGCAAAGGAGGTCGAGAGAGCAGCAGAGCAGTGTACCACTGCCAACCCCACGTATATACGATAAGGAAAATACATAACAGTACCCAACCCATCTTTATGGATGGTTGATTGTATTAGTAGAAAACTTCATTTACTCATTGGTATATATGATTATATTAGGTACACGCATTTCAATACATATATTTCAATACAATTATTTAGGTACATTAATTTGGTATAATATATTTCGATATATACATTTAAGTACATTGGTTTAATATAATAAATTTTGATGCATATATTTGGGTACATACATTTCGATACACATATTTATGTACATTAGTTTAATATGATACATTTCGGTACGTACATTTGGATATATACATTTTGGTACATACATTTCAGTATTAACATTTAGATACAATAAATGAGTTTTTCAAGTTAAAAGAATGTTAAATAGAATTAATAAATTAAAAAAACTTTTGTTTGGTCAAAAAATAAATTAAAATGTGTATATTAATAAATTTAAGGGTAAATATCAGTTTATTATCCTCAAGTTTTATGGTTTTCAACATTTGGTACATGAAGTTTTTTTTGTCCAAGAGTCATACCTAAAGTGTTAATTTTGAGATAATCTCATACATCTGTTGGTTTAGCTGTTAAATCAGTTGTTAACTGATGATGTGACGTCCCCGTGGACAATGACTAGGGCATCACGTGTCAATATAGGGGCCACGTGAATATTAAAAAGATTAAAAAAAAAAGTTTATGGGCACAACCATATTCCCCTTCCCTCATTCTTCCTCCCTTCTCTTCCCTGCACCCATCATCCCGGCACACCCACCCATTCCCCACATTCTCCCTCCCTTCTCTCCTCTTCTCGTGCACCCACCCACCTCGCACACCCACCCATTCGCCCTCTCTCCTTTTGACCCTGTGAGGCCTAGGCGACCCTTCACTCTGCCACCATGATGCGGATTTCCAATTTTAGGGTTTTCAGTCTCTGATTTCCAATTTCAGTTACTACTACGGAAGCTGACAAGGAAGATGCTTCCAAGGTGAACAAGCCTTCAATTTCTACCCAAGACGACGCTTTACTGTTGCCTAAAATTAACACTTATGACTCTAGGACGAAAAAAAACTTCATGTACCAAATGTTGAACATCACAAAACTTGAGGGTAGTAAATTGATATTTACCCTAAATTTAAATATTTAATGGGAGACATTGAATGAAATACACATTAATTATTTTGAATTAAGGACACATTAAGGGACTATAATCAATATGTAATTTAACACCAGGTTTATTTTAAATTTATTCTTCAAGGATTAAAGTTAGAAAACCCCTTATATTATTAATTAAGTATCGATTAACGTGCTTATTTTTTATCGATGACGAATCATTTGATTTGCAAATTTGGTTTGAAAATTTAGTCTCTCTAGTATTACGTGAAGATTTATTGGACAAGAGATACAGACCTGACCTTGAGGGTAGTCCATGTAGGCGTCCGCTTAGAGGCCTCACTTCGGAGGGGCCCTCAAAAAATTTTATATCTTGTAAATAACATATAAATACAAAAAAAGTAAGAAATATCACAGTTCGTTTGTTTGTGTAGTGAAAATGTTTGGCTTCCCAATCTCTCCACTTTTATCGATTTTTTAAATTAACTATCATATGCTTTTGAAGATTGTACTTTAAGGTAATCAAAACTTTGAATTTATATTTTGGTTTTTAATAATTTATTACAATGGATTATTTTAATATTCAATTCGTTAATGTAATGTTGATTTTAGAAAAAACACAAGACAAACAATTGGCGTTGTTGAATTTATTATACTCGTCAATCAAGTTTTATTGTTCTTTACTCTCTTGATCATCAAGTTTTATTATTCTTCACTCTCAATATTAGACTCTTGACTGCAAATATTTAGTGCATGTGTGTCTAAAAACGTGAGACGTGTAATATTTAAGTAATTTTTGTGTGTGTGTGTGTGTGTGTGTGTATTTGGTAAAAGTTATTTTTTATTACCAACCAACCAAAACATATATACAAGCTAGCTATAGGCCCAAAGTAAACATATAAACAAACAAAACATGGGCCAAAAACAAAATAAACACAAAATGAGTCAATCAATAGATATGGTTCACAAGCTACACAACATAATCTGGAAACTTCTAATGTAGTCTTCGGCTCTATTGTTCCACATGATCCATCCAATTCCTCTTCCACTACCGAGCATTGCCTCATCAATCTCACCTTCCAACTCTGATCCGTTCATCAATGTATAAAGAATCGGGTAAGGGTGGCAAACGGGTAAAGCAATTGTGGGTTGGGCAAGTAACCTAAGTTAGGTATGGGCCGCTTCCAAATGTTTTGGAAAATAAATGGGGCAGGGCAGGCCTGTGTCATTTATAGGGCGGGCCAAGTCCTAAACCCTAGAAAAATAGGGCCCTGGATCGACCTGTTTCTAATTATAATGAACGGTCGAGATTGAATAATAACCTATCATCCAATATGAACCATTAGTTTCTACCCTAATCATCCCGAGTCCAGGTTTCCAGAATCAGCCTCACTCCCACCTTTCCACCATCCATCACTCCCTCAACTCCCTCGACTCCGACGACATCCTAAAGAACCTAGCCCATCATCGCCACTACGACCAACACGATGGCACCACCCATCCAGCCATCCTCCTCGACGACATCCCAAGACCCAGATAACCCAAGTCCTAGAACCTCGATTCTCTCCTCTTTGACAACACTACCGCCACCGACCACCATCACCCTATCACCGCCGTTGAGGACACTACTACCAGCCATCATCCCATCACCACCGTCGAAGATACTACTACCAGCCATTATCCTATCACCGCCGTCGAGGACACTACTACCAACCATCATCCCTCTAAAATTTAGGTAATTTTGAATTAGGGTTTTGTTATTAATGTGAATTTACGGTGTAGGGACTTTAGAGTTTTTAAATTAGAATTTGTAGATTGATGAATATCGAGAATTTTCTTGGGTGTTGATTTTACTGGGTTAATTTGCCCTCCAATTGCGTATTGGGACTTTATTTTCGTGGGTGTTGGGGTTATGGGAGGGAGGGGCAAATGGCTATAATCAATGCAAGTCGAGCTATATACCTATTTAGTTTCTTGTGGTTCTTACTTTTACATTATTAGCTCCTATATGGAAATTTTCCAGGGTGAATAAACAACATTTAAGAGCTACTTGCTTCTTTTACTTGACCGGTTATCTGTTTATTTAGGCTATATGCCGAGTGAAGACGGCTACCCAATTGAGGAATATGCTCTAATTAGGGTTTTTGTGCTTTTCTACAAGCTTAGTTAGTTTGTTACTGTGTTGGTTTGGTGTTCTGGATCTGAAATTTTGAATTTCTTTCTTTGGTTAATTTCATTGAGTAAATATTTCGTCTTTGCAATTTCTGTTGTTTGGGATTTTGTTATCTTACTTTAATCTTGGTATTTGGAAGTGTTAAATGAAAGTGGAAATGCATAGGTGCTTTAGATTTCTGTATTATCCTTTCGAAATTAGGATTCTCGTGTTCTTTTTCAATGCATGTGGAAACGGTTAGATTGGGAAAGAAAGTTTATTTATTTCCTATTAGGGGGTTGAAGCTCCCTTAATCGTATTTACTTGTGATTCTCGTACACAATGGCTATGAAAGTGTAGCCACTGCATTGATTGTTTATTCTTCACATGCTTTCGTTACTAGACTTGCTTTTCGTGATTCCCAACGGTGAATGTAGAAAATTGTCTCTTTTTATGTTTAGTGTAAGTGATTATCAAGTTGGTTTTTCTGGCTGCAGGTAACTGAACCAGAGAAGTATGGCTACTTTGCTGATTAGAAGAAAGTACTAGTCTTCTTCTTTGGAACCCAACAGATGTAAGTACTTGATGCTATCTTGATTAACTTTAACTAAGATCAACGGTGGTGGTTTCCACTGTTGTGCAAGTCAACAATTGATTAGTTATGGCTTTCCTTTCAGATCAGACTTACTGACGGAAGTTAACTTTGTACTTTATGATAATATGATGTCATGTTGTGTTGAGTAAGGTATGATTACTATGATTGTATTGAGTTTTGAAGAATGAAGCTAATTACATTGTTCTTGTCTCTCAGACTCTTGAATATTTTGTATATTGATTTGATCTTTAGATGTCTCTCAGATGTTATTTTGAATGTCTAGGATTTGATGTATCAAACGATGTTGGACAATGTAATGTTGCTATTTTGGATGTATTGTTAATCTATGGACTTAGATGTTAGACTTTGTAATGTTTAGATTGGATGTGAATCTGTGCAGGGAGTGAATTTGTGCAAACTGTAAAATCTGCAGACTGCACTGGTAGTGAATCTGTGCAAATTTTAGGTTTTTTTTTCAAAAAAAAAAAAACCAAAGGACTTGTGGACCCGACCCGAATTGGGTCGGGTTAAGTCTGGTTCCTATATTAGAAAATGTTGTCCCCGGCTTGGCCCGACCCATTTCTTTTAAACCCAGGTCTGGTTCGATCCCTTCAAAATTGGGCCCGACCCATGCCCAGCCCTAGAATTAGGGATCAAAGAACTTTAGGGCCTCACTTCAAAACCTCGCCTAGCACCCTTAAATTTTCAAAGCTAGCCCTAAAGAGAGAGTAAAAATTCAAGCATACATTCTCATGCGTTCATCAAAATTTATAGTATTATTTGAGACACTGAATTTTATAATTAGATAAGTTTAAGACTTAAACATGGATAATTGTTTTTGTCAAATTAAATATGGATAATTTAAGCATGGTATAGGGTACAGTACTAGTTTCAGACAAAAAATTGACTTATAATTGGTAAACAACTCATGTAAGCTTCGATATTGCTCCCCAAACATTTTAAGATTATTATTATTATTTTAGAGAAAAAGAAAATTCATTCCAAGGCAACAACCACCACAAACAAAGAAAGCTAGAAACACCTGACCAATAAAACACAAATAAGCGAGAAGGGGAATATAAAAGACGCTACCAAACACGGCTACCACGTTTTCCCCATCCCTCAATAGCCCTGACTAAGAATGAGGACATGGTAATCCATCTT